TTTCTATTTCAGCCCCCAGCCCTCCCCATGGTTACTTACTTATTTACTTTTACTACTTTTCCCAGAGCTGTGTCAAAGAATTAATAATTATATATACTATATAAACAATATTCAAAGCACATTACAAAATTTTGTTTAAATGCACAAAAGATACGAAGAAAAAATCTTCTTGCACGAGAAAAGAGCAAGGCAAAAAAAAGTATCAAAAAACCCTCAAATTTTCTCCAAGCATAATCAATTTTTTCTATTTCCTTTTAATTTACCAAAGGACTGTCCATATTAAAACAAAAAAATTACACTCATAGCCGCTCGGCTCGGCATGTCTGATTATCTACTTATACGCTAAGCGAAACTTAGCGTATCCTCCCTCCCCTCCCTGCATATCTTCGAACACTGATAACCCAAGCAAAAATGAACCCTGGTTAGCCCAAGATAAAAAATTAAAAAAAAAAAAAAAAAAAAAAATGGCAAAAAATTACCTGCCTAAAATTTAAAAAAAATCACCACTCAGCATCCGCCTGTATCCTCGTTAAAAGTGATTCAATGCCGAATGCAGTAACCGATATAAATAAAGATAAGAAAAAAATCTTATCCAAGTGTCATAATAAAATTTTAAGCCGTCTCCCCAGCAGCTGACAGAAAAAAAAAAAAAAAAAAAAAAAAAAAAAAAAAAAAAAAAAAAAAAAAAAATGGCAAAAAATTACCTGCCTAAAATTTAAAAAAAATCACCACTCAGCATCCGCCTGTATCCTCGTTAAAAGTGATTCAATGCCGAATGCAGTAACCGATATAAATAAAGATAAGAAAAAAATCTTATCCAAGTGTCATAATAAAATTTTAAGCCGTCTCCCCAGCAGCTGACAGAACAAATAGATATATATTAAAGGGCAGAGTATTGACGGGGTTCGGTAGGTGAATGTTATACATATATATATATAACCAGATAAAGTCTAACTATACTATACTACACTATATATATGTATAAAGGGTAAGACAGGCCCGTAGGTACGGAAGGTACTGTGTAGTTTGACGATCGTGCACACCGTACAGGTAGAAGAAACGTTGCTATGGATACGACCATGGCCACACTCAATCAATACGCGATGGGGCGTCGGTTCGGTCGGTGACGCAGGTAAAAGGCCCACGTGGTTCTATGGCCACGTGCAAGACCTCCATTCTTCTAGCAGAGGCTGACGATAAGACTCTGAGATACATAATAATCATCTATCTCCCCGTCCCTGAACGAAAGATCTGTGAGAATAAAATTTTTAAAGAAAATAATTTTTTCTTCATACCATAAAAACTCTCGCAGAGATCTCGCGATTATGAAACATTGATTTTTACCTGAAAATGAAGAAACACGAAAGGAGAGGAAAGAAAGCAGAATGCCAGATACGTAAAAGTACGTAGAGGCAATTAGAATTTTTCACTGGACACAGACAAATGTGAAGTTGGGCAAATACGAAATTTCGAACTGACTACGAGGTTTAATTTTGCATATAAAAAATGTCCAAAGTGAAAGGTCAATGCTGGTCAGTGAATTATCAAAAGTTTAACGGGTTAAGTGAATTTGGAAAAAAAAAACGCCTGATTTACGATAAAAACTTAGACCGCAGTTGTAAAGTTATTTCAGGTTAAAATGGGGAGTCACGTTAATTGGGATAACAATTGGAAATTGAATCCGAGTGAGAATTTTTTAAAATCTTCAAAACAAAATAAATAGAAATCCCTTTATGATTTTCTTCTCGTCACGTATTATCGAGCGTTATCGGTGACGATCATTCATAAATGTATTTCGGATGATAATCATTAGTCCGAAAATGACTTTACTTGTAAATTGAATCGAGCGCGGAAGCTTCGCTTAACCCAGTGTCCGTGTTTCGAGCGTAATAAGAAGAGTCAATGTTTGGGTCATATGCTTGTTGGCAACTTTGCATATCTCAGAGTTCAAGTATGTTTTCTGTCGCGAGGTCAAACGTGGGCATTGTTATAATAAAAGTGTTGCGCTATCTCAGGGGAAGGTCTAGGTTTCGTTAGATCATACGATAAGGGGATATCCGATAAGAGATCGACTCTACCGGCATATCTGCAAGTTCGAATAAGTAACTGAAAAAAAAAAAAAAAAAAAAAAAAGTTAAAGCAGGATTAAATTTTG